GCTTTAATGATAATGATAATGATAGGAAGAATTAAACTTGACCTACTTTAATGATAATGATAATGATAGGAAGAATTAAACTTGACCTACTTTAATGATAATGATAATGATAGGAAGAATTAAACTTGACCTGCTTTAATGATACTATCATACGTTGGAAATCATTTCCGTACACTTATATTAATATTCCTATAGATGAGTAATTATGTTAAACACAAGTAACGTGCCATTGTTCGACGTAATAAACGTGATTTGTCATCTGTACCATATACATATCCACCGATATATATCGATGTGCTGAAACTATTCAATTCTATTTTTTGACAAAAAGAATTGTAATAGTTTGAAATAATTAATGTAATTAAAATAATTAAGAAATTTGTGGCTTTAAATTTTGAATTAAAAGAAAACAAATTTGATTTTCCGCAAACTAATGCATATCGTCAATTTTTAAAATTATCAAAAAATGAACAATTTTTAAAAGATACAAAAATATAAATATGAATATTCATCAAAGTTAGATGAAAATGCATTTACTTATTACTTATTACTGCAAACAAGTAGATTAACATGTGAATCAATTAAGTGGTGCAATTAATTAATTGATCAGTTAATTTACCTACTTATTCATTTATTTATTAATTACAATTACGATAGCGAATTTTGAATTAATAATTTAATAGTTGTAGTTATGAATTTTTTCCATAATATGAAAATATCAGATCAAATTACATCTAAAAAGAATTGAAATTATAATACAAGTAATTTGATATTAATCTTTAAAGTAATTGTTTACTCAAAACTCAAAACTCAAAAAAAAACTACAAAAAAAAGTTTATACCAAAGGAGGAAATTGTGGGATGTAAATTTGAAATAACCTTTCAATGTAGCCCATATTTTCAAATAGTACTAACCAACGTTTGACAATAGTTTGCACAAAGAAGCCAAGCATGAATGTTAATGGGATATAATTAAGATGAATATTGAAATAATTTGCAATTTTTTCAAATATTCTAAATCGTATTTCATCCCATTAATCGATTATTCTTACAAATATACCAAAATATATCCGTAAATGGTACTAAATTTAATATGATGGCATGATTGTATTAATTAATTAATTAATTCCTGACCACTAAATATATATATATATATATGTTAAATTAAATTACCCACTTAACCTCTTTGTTTTTTTTTACAACTTCAATAATTTCAACATCTTCTCAAATTGCATACTTAATCGTTCTTGACACTAATTAATTAATTAACCGAGAAACTTTTATCCGCCAAATAATGTTAAAGTTTATAGTAAATGAAAAAAAAAACATTGTAAAGTAATAATTAATAAATTATCTAAAAGTAATTAGTGGACAAAAAAAGAAAATTGTACTTAAAAAAATTAACTAACACTTTTTGATTGTAAGTTTAAAAGTAGGATGATCGATAGATGAATGTTACAATCAAAAAAACCAATGTCCAATGTCCAAATGCAAAGTTCTTTGGGACATAACTTCTAAATACTACCCTTTCAACGAAATATCAGGTGGAAAATGTTAAAGGATGACGCTATGCGACATCCATATTGTATGAAATTGTCATTTTCACTTTCTTGTCTAAATTTTAAATCTATTAACAACAAAAGTAAAGCAATTAGCATAGCAAAATGATGCAAATCAATTGATGATAATGATCAATGATGATGATGATGGTGATGATGATGATGGTGAACAATTGATAACTATGAATAATCGAACAAATCATTAATAATCGCGTTGTTGTTAAATAATTAATTAAATAGCTTGTCATACTTACTATCCCCTTTAATAATTATTTTTATAGAACTAATTAAACAACGAATATCTTACATGTTACATGTTACTATTACACATTTTAATAACTACTTTATAATCATTTAAACGACAAGTTATATTACTTATACCTAGTATGGTAATTATTTTTATGCAAATAATTAAACGATGAGTTATACTTGTTACCTGTTCGAATAATTACAATTGTGAATTTAGATGAACAAATAATTATTTGTGTGGAATTAATTAAAGGAGGAATTGAACTACTGAATATAACACCATGTTATCATTCATATCAGGAACTGAACTACTGATTATAACATCATGTTATCATTCATATCTCGAACATCCAATGATAATTTTTAATTTGGTAAAAGTGCAAACTTTGTTTTTTGTTTGCTTTTTTTAAAAAAAAAGCGAGAGGAAAAATGAAAAAGCTAAATTACTATTCATTACAAATACCATTCAATCATCCAAATTCATTGTCACAAAATATTTGCATAGCTATGTTAAATTGATTTTGTTTTTATGTATTTCTACTTTTTTATAATTCAATTCATTTTTTTTCTTAATGGTTGATAAATGTATTGTTTTAATTTCCCATCTCAAATAACTGTGACATGCATTTTTGTTACCAAAAAAAAAAAATTTAAGAAGTGATTATTTAAATTATTTGATCGAATAATATAATTTTATGCAATCATTTCAATTTTTGTTTGGAATAAAAAAGATTAAATTAACACTTTAACAACATGTTTTTAACAAGCTATATGGTTTTTTTCCTTTTTTTTTATTTTTTTATTTTTTTTTGGTTCTTGGAGCCTAAATAATGTACCAAATGAAACATTTAGCAAAGTTAGTATTTGATCTTCATGAAACGCAAAACACACGCATCTTAAACATATTAGTAAATAATTGCAAAATACTTGCAGAAAAAAAAAAGCGATCCATGATAAGCAGCAACTAGTTTTACTGAATTAAAATGAGAAATTACTTATAAAACAAATTATTCTGTTGATAATTAACTTTAGCTCAAACAAGTTTGAATTGTAATTTAGGATTGTATTTCGGATCATTCGAATTGAAACATTTTTTCTTTTTTCTTTTTTAGCTTATCTTCAAAATATTGCTTTGATTATCCGAAAAATTTACTTCTTTTTTTTGATGATAAATTAATAAAATAAGAAAACTAAAATAATAAAAATATACATAATAAAGAAAAAAAAATAAGAAAACTTCTTACATTTGAAAAGAAACTTAGAAAAATGATAACTGTTTAATAAATCTAATACTATTAACCTTACCATTTATTTTATATATATCACTGAAATCTATTATTATAACAATTTGACTTATTACAGCAAAATAAAAAAGAAAATCTTGATAACTTTAAAATGTTAGTATTAATTTTAGGATGACAAATAACTACAAGATGAACTAATAATGTACAAATGCGCATTCTTTTTTTTTGTCTAAATTGTAAACATTTTCTTTATTACTTTTATTTGAGTAATAAACTTCTCATTAATTTTTGCTAATTTATTTTTTGTGAATCCCAAACTTTTTAATCATTCCCTTTTCCTTTTTTTTTTTACAAATCAATGTTGACCATTGCAAAAATATCAAATTTAATTTCTATC